GTCTCTGCAGCCCTCCGCCATTCCTACTTATTTTTCTTGAAGTTTCCTCCCTTTATGACCAGTTATGACATTTAACAATTTAAACGTGCATAGCATCAGAACGGCACATAGTTACCTATTTTAGGATCTCTGGTGATGCCTTTCGAAGACCATCAAAGTCATTTTTAATAATACTGGACAACCCTATTGTCCCACCTATGAAGTTTGGCTAGAACTTACTGTGCTTGTCCTTAAAGAACACAATAAAAGAAATCATTCCCACTTAGATGGAATGCCTTTCACTCTCTTTCTCTTTTGGTGGTGTTCTTTCTCTCAATGCAAGGTTCTTTCCCTCCAATTTTCAGTAGCTGCCCCCTGAAGCTGTCTTACAGCATTCTCCAAATTCTAGGTATTGTGTGTTAGATGGAAACACATGTCATCAGAACAGAGATCCTTGCTCTTTGTTTCTGGATAGATTGCTGTTAATAAGAGACTCATTTTCACTTTCAAACTGCTAAGTAATTACTTTTTCTCTGGCACAACCACTTGCCACTCTGTTCTAAAGAAACTGCATGTATGTGGATGTATTATGCATGAACAGTTAGCATAATGGATGCATATCTTGCTCTTTAAAGTGGCTTCTTTACTGATTTTTTTTAATAAAATACTTGGGGACCTTCACCTCTGAAATTGACACAAGAGAAAGAAATTCTAACAATAGACAACTGAGCCAAGATGCAAACAGTATCATATAGCTTGCTTCTTGAAACATAAGTCTTGGAAAGTGTCTGCCTCATTCCCTTTCATTCATTGTTCCTGGCAAGCTGACAGAGCCGCCTGATGCACTGTTACAGTAGCTCATCCAAACGACTTCTAATCAGCCACTTAAACATTTATTCATTTCAAAACTCAATCTCAAGACATAATATTAAATATAAATACTTGCTGTTTAAAGGCAGATATGCTTCTATTGTACGCATTTTCTTCTTTTTGTTCACACTCCACACACCCCACCACCACCCTGAGAAATGTGAAAGCTATTCCATTAAAAGCTCAGCGAGGTTTTGCCCCCATATAGGAAAAAGCCCCAATTATGACAAAGATCCTGAATGAGTCATAAGGAGAATGCCCTTCAATTGTGGAAGCATGACTAACATCTGAATATGGAGACTGCTTCATGAGCACAATCACATTTTATTTAGATGACTCCAAAATATAGAGTCTTCTATTTTTCATACCTCAAAAAATAGATCTGAAAGGCTTGTTGACTTCAATGCGATAGGCTTTCTTACTTTTTAACATACTGCTGATAATGTCATTGAGAAACTAGGCAAAAAATAATAGAAAGTAGCATCCTTTCCATAATCTCCACTTACTCTGACATTTAAAAAAAAAACTGAACTTTTTACATTATCATCCAACCCTGTATGACTTCTTATACCCTATATGATACTTAGATAATAATTTTGGTCAATAAAATGTGATAAGTACATAAGAAATACACAGATGTTTCATTACAAAGAAATAAACAATTCTGCTTGAAAAAAGTTGGAGAAGACTTTAAAAAAAAAATAAGGGACATTTAAGCCAAGCATTAAGAGCTTATCTGTCACATGGTCTAGGGTAGGATCCTTATCTTTTTGTCCTTTTCCCACCCTACCCCCCACACTTCAGGCATTCACTTACAACAGCACAAATTTATCATTTGTCCACTTCCCTGTGTCCCTCATTAGAGTGGCTTTACTCAAGAGTGGGACTTTCATATATTTTTCTTTATACTCCAGTACTCAGGAGATATCCAACAAAAAGTCTTCTCTTCCAAAAAGCTTTCCTTATAAACTCAAATAGATTAGGATTCCATCCTCAAAGACAAGAAAAACCACAAAATGATCAACATCACATTTTTCTTAAACAAGGATAACTGCAAAGGCAAAGATCACTGACACACTGGCCCACTCTTCTAAGCCTACTCTTCCCCTCTGCACACCTATGTCAAAATCTACATGCACATGTACTCACACACGATTCTTCTGAGTAAGACTGATTTGATATCTAACTTACAGTTTTCAAGTACAAACCTACAGGTGGTCAAAACAAGTGATCGAGGAGAGTACTGGGTCCGATAATTTGATATGAAAAATCCATGAGCTAACGACACAGAACTAAGAATAAAACCAAGACCTTGGTGGGAAGAGTCAATCCACTCCCGTGAGTTTACTGCTTCAAAAAGAGCATCTGCAGTCAGAAGCCCCATGTATGAACCTAGACACTGTTAAGGTTCTGCTCTCCGTGCACTGGAGCTGACGCAGGGCTGCTTGGAGCATCAGATGCAGAACATAAGGGAGTGTGTAAGATCCATAGTAGCTTCTTAATAAACACAGCCCCTGAAGCATAATCTCACATCTTATCAGTAGTCTCCACAGAGGAGATTCCAAACAGAGCAGAAAAAGTTCTTACCCAAAGGAATCAAACCCATTATCTCTTCTCATTGATAAGGTTCATCCTCTAGCAACAAAGGAGACTTAATGTGGACACGTGGAAGGGAGAAATAATTTGCAGTGGACTTACATTGGTACCTTCCACCTGTGAAAAACTCCCCCCAGATCAAATTGACTATGGAAAAAGGAGTCTCATTTTAGATTCCTGTCCTTGACTAGTTTTGAACTCTGATTTGGGGCTACAAGGGAAGCATGACCATGTGTATTTACGGATATGGACTGGATAAAGCTCACTCAGCCAGGCACATGAAAGTGCTTTGCCAGAGAAAATGGTGTTCTCCATTTACCAGCTCCAGAACTAAAGCTGCTTTTTACTCATTCTATACTGTATAAAAGGCTTTTATTATATGCTTCCATCCTTTGTAGTAATACAGCCCCCCCTTTTTGGGAAAAAGTCTGCAATAATAAGCCTGTTAGTCTTTTAATAGAAGATAAACAGGATGCAGTGAACTTAAAATCACTCTATTTTGTTTTAGCCAACTGCAGCATTCCATACTGCATCCTTTTCTTCCATTTCTGTTAATAGTTATTTTTAAAGAATTAGCACAGGAGAAGGTCAGTAATGTGTACAGATGTTACAAAAGTATTAGGCCATACCCCACATAGAAAAATATGCAAATAGTCAATAGGCAAAAGTAATTCATAGTCCTCCTTTTACCAAATGCATTTTACCTATAATTCCACTTGTGTAATAACAGATGGTTCACTTAAAACCTCACTGCAGAAAGTGGCTCTCGGTTAAATAACCAACACCACCACCAACAATGGATGTTTATAGAAGATCAGTATTTTTAGGGAAATCCTAGGTCTATAGGTAAGCAAGGACTAGAGGAGGAAAAGAAAAAAAACAAAAACAAAAAATTTTCTCTTCTGCCTCTCATGTTATTCATTTTCTTCTATATTCTTCCTTCTCTATCACATAAAGTCACTTGTTTGCTTTCTTCCCTCATATCTTCTAGGTTAAGTCAAAGAGTTCTCCTGAGTTAACCCTTTCATCATATCTTACTCCTTCCCTCCTAGGCCAGGAACACCACAGAAGAAACTCAACTGATGAACTTCTTGGCTCTTTCTCCTACAGCTGGAAGATGGTTGCCTATCTGGGCAAACAGGCTCAAGCTATGTGGCCTCAGCATCCCCCTACTCTGGTTCCACTCCAAAATTGAGGGGCATCAGGGAACCAGGATCTAAGCACAAACTCCCCACCTGTTGGTATCCTTAAGACAGCTATGATTTTTGGTGGTTATTAGAAGTAAGAATCTTGTCAAACTATTTTTCTGGGACTTTCTTGCCACATTAGAGATGCATGCACCAATCACTTTCTATCAGAGATTTTCATCACCCCTACCTACTTATCATTCCCTAAATCACCTGATGGAAAAAGGAGAAGAAACTTAAGATTTCACAGAACATTTGCAAAGGAGCCTTAAAACTGGATGAAAAATAATGATCTCAAAATCCATTTTTATGTGAACTGGAGTTCATTAATATCACCAACCATGTTACAGTCAATATAGGTAACCAATTAATATGAGTGAAAAACTTAAATATGATTCTTAAGAACCCAATAAATATGCCAAAGACTTTACAAATATGCAGCTCACTGCCTATTTTCATTACAGACCTTACTTTCAAATTTTAAAGACAAGGTCTCTTAACTTAGAGCTATGATGACCATTTGCTTCAGTAACTACAAAGGATCTATTTTATTAATTTTCCACTATGGACACAATGTTTTGAAATATTTGGTCTATCAAACAAAGTAATTTCTAAACACATATTTTGTTTCTATCTAAAAACAATAATGTACAGTTCTGCTCTCTCTCCTCTTTTCTAGTTCAATTTAGCACTCTTTTTTTAATTTAGACCTCCTTGGTGTCCTCTCCCTGAATTTACAGAGGGAGGGGGAAGATACATAAACAAATATTCACAAATCTTAATAGACATGTGCAGAGCCAAAAAAGTTAGTCGTTTATAGGTAAGTAAAGGTAAGTAAATTCAATGATTTCAGTTTAACTGAAAATATTCGCTGGGCATTACTATCTTCATAGCAGGTGATTTTCAACTTCCAGTATATTATTCATATACTCAGCAGACATGGGCATGAAAAAGGTTTATGAAAGAAGACAGGCTAAACACTGGTGACTAATGCCAAAGAGTTCTCTCCAGAATCTACTATGTCTAAGCTCCAAAGATACGTGTCTTCCCTCCAATTCCATCACTGGAATCCCAAATCGGGTTGTTAGGGAAAAGTACAATTCTCAGGGGCTTGAGTTGCTTGGCCTGGTGCCTTGCTGCACATTTAGCTGTGCGGTTAATCTCCCAGAGCAGCGCCCACTGTGGCATGCCTGCTATTCTTTACCATCTGGAGCCTGGAGTTGATATTAGCTTGAACCACACATGCAGGAGAAAAGAAAAAAGAAAAAACTCTCATTCGCATTTAACTGAAATTGGTGGCAGAACAATGCACCATGCCGTCTAGGCTTTCACACGTGGAAGAAAGGAAAGAAAGGCTAAAGTACAAACCTTCTCTTTTGTTTTCTGGTTCTCTGCTCTGAGGTCTTCATATTCGCCTATGGCTAAAAGAAAAAAAGGAAAGCAACATTATAACACTATCAAAAGTTTGAAGTTTTTAGGAAAACCCAGGATCCAACTAACCTCTATTGTCTATTTACTAGGTTGGTGGTAGGGTAGAGAAGTGGCCATAGAAGAAGGGCTTCTGCTTTTAAGAGTAAGAAAGAAAAAGAGACCACGGCAGGTGTGAGCCCACTAAGCCAAATTTCGGATCTCCCTAGGTCACAGAAAGACCTCAGAGCCATAAGCGACCTATGACAAATCACTTCTCGGCGCTCAGCACTTGGTCCTGTGAAAGGGGACAGGTGGCTGCTCCCTGAAGTTCCTTCTAGCACTGTTAGTCTGTGGTGCTGTAATCAGAGGTTCATTTTTAAAATCAGCCTCCAGAAAATAATGTAGGCTTACACATTCAGTTCAGTGTCACACATTTGCTTTGTCCACAGAGTGAAAGGGTTACGCCATGAGCATTCAGCTAAGAACAACTATTTTTAGGCCCTGCAAGATCATCGATCACCAAGCTATGACCAGATACCAGCCAGATTCATTTCATTAAGTTGGAAAAATATGTGAACTGTTGGGAAATATTTCTTATTATGTGGGAGGAAAAAAAAAACTCAGCAGCTTATTATTTAAAACCCTCTACCGCCAGAAAAATAAAGTAGCCTGAACACCCACATTCATCTCTTATCCAAAGCACCATTCTTGGATATCCTCACGGTTGCGAATATGATGTTATTAGCATATGATGGTTAGAAAAGGCATGATCCAGGTTTAAGGATGGATCAGAATGTGTAAGGTGGGTGTACTCCCAAACCAGCATTTTGACTGGCACCACAGAGCCAGGGCATTGTCAGATTGGATCTTTACACCTGGACTTTTAAAAAATATAATTGGGATTTATCTACAAAAAGCTCAGTTTTTCTTAAAAAAAATAAAATAAAAAAGACAAAGAGGGCTTCCTATTTCCATGAATACCCAAAAAATAGAAAAAAAAGAATCTGAAACCAGTGACTTCAGGAACATCCCAAATAATCTGCTTATTAATTCTAGAGGTGTAGGATTCTAATCATGGAGCAGAGAAAACCCCCTAAAGAAACAATTCACATGGTGAAGTATATCCTTTGTATCCTCCAACAGTGAACCAAAGGATTTAGAATACCTATGGTGATTGTGGGGCCACTACCTTAAAATCCAACCAAATGAACAAATATTTATGAGATTACACCCACTCCATGACCATCTACATAAGAGTTAATGGACAATTTTATTGAAGCCACACCCAGAAAGAATCCTTGAAAATTAGCCCATAAAATAGCCAAATATGTACATGTAAAGATATAGCCCTTTTAAAAATAATTACATTTTCAAAAGAAAATATTTGGGAAAAAAAAGAAAGAAAACATTTGAGTAGCCACAGAATGAAGTCCTGTGCACACCAGCTCATCAGCCTCTACCACACAAAGCCCAACCAATGGGTATAAACTAAATTGTCCTAGTTTATGAAAAATCAATAAAATGACCTCTTCTTTTTTTTAACAGAGAGAAATAAAACTAAGAGATTCTAAAATATACACTCATGCACCAGGTAGTCTATGGTTATGGCCCCAAATCTTATTACCATATCTGATATTCTTTCAAAAAATAAATATATATATTTTATTGAGATACTTTACTTGACATTTAACAGTTTAGCACCACCTTCGGCCCAGGGTGGGATTCTGGGGACCTGGGATGGAGTCCCACATCGGGCTCCCTGCGTGGAGCCTGTTTCTCCCTCTGCCTGTGTCTGCCTCTCTATGTCTCTCATGCATGAATAAATAAAATCTTTAAAAAAAAAAGTAGGTATCTATAGATAAAGCTGAAAATCAAGATTGATTTACTACCCTATTCTTGATGACCTACTTTATAGACGTACAAACAATAAAGACTTATAAAACCATGATCTCATATTGACATTAAGAAAATGTTTTTCTATTTAAAACATTAATTAACAGCTTTGAAGCTTATTAAAAATACCGATACGATTCTTCCATTATATTGCCAATAGAATCCAGATGAAAGTAGACTCCCAACTACAGGGTCTTCACGAAAAGCATTAATTAAGAACCCTTCACCTATCATGCCTTAATGGAAACCACAGACAAAGTGCTTTCCTGTGACTATGTGCAACTAAAAAAATAATAATAATAATAAAGCCAAGTAAAGGGAATAAAGAGGAAGCGTATGGGAAACGTATGAAGAATTCCCAGTGGGAAGGGAGCACCTGGGGAGTAGAGCATAAAGGGAAGAAAAACATTAATTTATATTTTTATTTCACTGAAGTCAGAAAACCAAGCTCACTGCCATAAACAAGATTTACACACACACCATAGTGAATACACATGTAACTCCATCCTCACCGAAACTGGCAAAATCTGAAGTGACCTATAGTATTCTGCTATGTTTCTGGCAATGCTAAGGGTAACAGAGAAAGCCACCTCTTTGTTTCAGAACTGTCACAGCTTGGAAATTTTTAAGTGAGTCGCACAACTCAAGTGATTTGATGATACAGATCCTCCAAATCGTGAAGTAACCAATGCAAAAGTAAAGGTGAATTGGACCAACGCTCTGCTATGAATGGAAGGCACAGCTCGGGAAGACATCATCTCCTGGGTGGGCTTACAGGTACAGTTTATTTCAATGTGCTGTAAGGTCACATAGCACAGTAATTAAAAGGTACAGCCAAGAGACTTTGGTCTAGTTGGTAATCTCTCTAAATCTCAGATTCCCCATCTGGAAAATAAGAATGAAAATTATACATCTTTCTCATATTGTTGTGATTAAGAATGAGTTAACATGTAAGATGTAAGTTGTAAGAGTGCTTAGGAATATTATGTGTTCAATACATGTTAGCCATACTTATTGTTACTGATACAGCAAAGTACATCAGATCCCTGTGTATGATAAGAGATCAATCAGGCTGTTTCCTAATGCCCTCCAACTCAGGCTGACTTTTGTCGCACATGTCCCAAAAGATGGCAGAGCAGAAAAATCTCTGAAACCCTACTACTACTACCCTCTGCCAAAAAGAAGAAGGAGGAGGAGGAGGAGGAGGAGGAGGAGGAGGAGGAGGAGGAGGAGGAGGAGAAGAAGAAGAAGAAGAAGAAGAAGAAGAAGAAGAAGAAGAAGAAGAAGAAGAAGAAGAAGAAGAAGAAGGAGAAAGAAGAAAGAAGAAGGAGAGAGGAGGCTAACAATTGTAGTGTGTTGTAGTTAAAAAAAAAAAAAAAAGATGGCAAAGAAGTGGAAGCATGTCTGGGAGCTGTACTTTTCAATCCTGGCTGCACATTAGAATCACCTGGGGAGCTTTTAAATCATACAGCTGTCTAGCCCCCTCTCCACCCACCCCACCCCAAGATTCTAATTTAACTACTCCAGGGTGGACCTTGGGCACCATATTTGTTTGAGAAGTGAACACCCCAGGTGATTCTAATGTGCAGCCAGGAAGGGGAATCTCTACCTAAGAGGACAGAATGGAAGAAAAAGGGAGATGGGCAGAAAACAAGGAGAATATTAGGCAGAGCACGTGTTTCAAGAATCATGCTGGTTTTCTATTTTCTAACTCCCTAATGCCAAGAAAGGGAGCTTTCTTTCCAGGCTGCAAATCATGACATAGCCAGCCCAGAGATCAGATGAGTAGACTTAGTCATTTTAGAACCATGGCACTTAAAGTTCATAAACACAGGCAATAACACCTTTGGCTGGGGTGAGTAACAATCATGGTTTTCCCAGGACTTTCCCAGTTTTAGACTGAAAAGCCCATTGTCCCTGGAAGACCTCTTTGTCCCAGGCAGGTTAACCACCCTATCTCAAGTACAAGCACCAGATCAGTACTTCCCAACCAATACCTTCTAGACCTGCACTGGCAAATACAGAGCCACTAGCTACAAGTGGCTACTTTCATGTAAATTAATTAAAATTAATTAAAACTTAAAATTCTCTTCTTTGGGAGCACCAGCCATATTTCAAGTGTTCAGTGGCTACACGTGGCTAGTGGCTACCACAGCAGACACGGAACATTTCCGTCTCAGCAGGAAGTGCTGCTAGACAGTACTATTCTGGACATCTCTATGCAGAGAGCCTATAAGCACCTCAAACTCAACATGTTAGAAAGTGAACTCATCAAACTCTCTTTAACTCAGACCTCCTCCTTCCTCTATATATGATGTCTTTCTGGAGTCATCGCCTACCTGGTCATCAAGCTAGTACCTCAAGATCTACCTTGATTCCCCTCTTTCTCCCACCTTCCAACGAATTATCAAACTGCTCCCATCTCTTAAAACATCTCCCCAATCTGCCCTTCCTCTACAGTGTGTCTGCCTTAATTCTAATCCTCAATGATGGTAAAATCCTCTCATGTAGCCTCTAGCCTCCCTCTATCCCAAGTTTGTTCTTCACAAAGTAGATGGTTAGCATAGTAACAAAGCGATCTGGTTACATCATCCTTGGGTTTAAAAGCCCACAAAGATGGGAACTTTACAACCTGGGCCCCACTCTTGCCATTCAGCCTTAGGGAACACCACTCAATCCATCACACCTCTAACATCTTTCACACCAGGCACCTTATAAACATTTTTCCCTTCACCTGCAAGGTCTCCCCCCAACCCATTTTCCATAGCTTTTCCTTGACAATGCAATTCAACTGTCCTTTCCTGTAAGAAACCCTCCCCACATATATAGGGCAAAAATCAACATTTATATTTCTAATATACTACCAGAGTACACTGTTCATATAGTTCTACTAGAGCAACTACGTATAAGATTATAAATTATCTGAGCATTAGTCTGTTTTCTTGTCTTCTCTCCCATTCCATTCATTGCTATAAATCTCACACCCAGCAGAATATGAAGCAGAGTTGGTACCTATGTTGACCGAACAGCTGGTTCATATAAATCTGTGATATAAAGCAATTAAGCCAAATATTAACATCCCCATTTTAAAAATAAAGATACGTAGAAAAGTCAAATC